AGATATAGCTGAGTGAACACTGATTTAAGCTTTTTGGATAAATTGGCATGTTTTTGTCTCTTGATGGGAACCCTTTCTGCTTCCTGGAAGATCAAATGTGAATTGGGAAGCATTGCCTTCTTTTTTCCAAAATGGACTTGAAAAGGCACAGTCCTGCCAAAAATACTGAAACTGGAGAGCATCACTTTGGAACCCTAGGCTTTCAGCCTGTGGAGGACTAACATCTGGAAGAAGACCAGCTTTGGGAGCTGTAGGTATACATGAGTGGTCATTGGATAAGGAAGCATGGGATAAACAGGTTGGTTTAGTAGGCAATAAAGAAAAATCTACTCCAGGTGTTGTGGGTGGACTGTTTGAAAATAATTCTGGAATAAGATAAAGCAAATAAGTCCCTGCTTTGTGGATGCCAGGAATTCCTGGGATGTCTTTGATAGGTGTAGAAAGAGGAGAGTTACTTGGAGGTCCTGGACGGGAGTAGAAGTCTATGATGAGAGATGGGAGAGGGGTACTACAGGTGGAGGAAGACGCACTGGGAAATTCCTTAGGACCAGAAAGGTTCAGCTTAAGTCTGCTTGGCCTACAAATGCCTTGATCCTCTGGAGAGAAATTATTTGGCTTCTGGTAAGATTGAAATGTGTTGCCTGGGTTCATAGAACACATCTTTGAAATCAGATTGTGATCTTGTCAATGAGTCAGATGTGTTGAACCATACCATTTATTGGTCACATATTAATTACTGGATGGTTTTTTTCTTAGAAAAATAAGCCATTCTTTCTTCTGAACACTTGGAATCACAGCTGAATAAAGTAGTTTAAACTTTCTAGTACAGAGGTGTTAACATTCTCACAGAGGCTAACACTATAACCCCCAAAGTCACAGAGAAGGAGACTTCAGAAAAGTTTCTTTTATACTTCTAGCTTATAAATCACCTTAACCTAGTATCTAAAATTCAAGCTACCTATCACCTTCTCCAACATTTGAGGCATGCATGTAATTCTTGCAATTGAAAGCAGTCATGTATGCATCATCCCTTTGACTTTACAACAAAAACTTATTTAGCACACATTCCATGCCTAAACATATTTTGAGGGGATGAGCAGAAAAATGACAAGCTGTCCTCAGATGAACTTTACTATCCAATTGGAAATAAATAATAGATGCTAATTAGTTGTAATTGGGCAAAGACTCAGTTATTAGCTGGACTCATGAGTTCCTACTTTAATAGGAGGTCTATGAATCTATCCAGTATCTGGGTATCAATGACAAGTTAGATCCTGAGTCAGTATTTCTTAAATGTTTGAATATTCCTGTTTCCCCAGTATATAGGGACCTGAGTAAATGGCAAGTGGTCCCTCAGAGGGAAGGCAGGAGGAATTACTTTTATTTCTTCTCCTGGAGTTCCAGGGTCCTTCTTCCTGAGGACCCAGCATCTCTTTCTTAAGGAACACCTTCCTCCAGGTGAGAGGTTTGAGGTATGAAATTGGCTCAGATCAAGGGACTGTAACAATTTATTGAGGCTATAAATCAATAGCCTCCTCATAAACCACCCTTGACTTCATTATTTTCTCCCTATCCCTCTTGACCATGTTCTACTCATCTTCTTTGAATTTTCCATGGTAAGGCCTAGCAGGCTGTAACTCCAGCCTCAGTGCTCAACTATCACTGCATCAACTGGGCTTCTGATATTTAAGTGTAAATATCTGGCTATCATGCATCAGGATCTCTCATCCCCAATACTAGCAGGAGTCCAGTTCTGCAATGGTAGCACATTGGACCACCTGCACAGGCATACAATAGAGAGGCCACCATTGAATTTAATTTTATTTTTTATGGTTAACTCTATTACTTATGTCCCTATTTTATCCCCTTTTACCCACCTGCATCTAGCCCCCCAGCGCACATCACTCTGGCCATTATCACATTGCTGTCTGTGTCTATGCATAATGTTCTTTGGCTAATCCCTTCACCTTCTTTCATCCAGTCCCATCCTCCTCCCTGCCCTCTGACAACTGTCAGTCTGTTCCATGTATCCATGCCTTTGTTTCTATTCCATTAATCAGTTTATTTTGTTCATTAGATTCCACATATAAGTGAGATCATATCTGAAGATAAAAGGATCCTTCTCACCACCAGTACATGCTCTTATTTTTTGGTAATTCTGGTTCTAACATTTTTTTTTTTCTAATCTAGTGAGGATTTCATGTTTGGTGTCTTCAGTAATTGGCAATGTTTATTTATTTATTGTAGAGAGAAAGAGAGACTATTTGTTGTTCCATTTGTTGTTTATGCATTCATTGATTGCTTCCCATATGTGCCCTACCAGGATCTAACCGCAATCTTGGCATATGGGGACAATGCTTCAACCAAATGAGCTACCTGGCCAGGGCAGATTTTAATATCTTAAAGCTGTGATTCAGAAATAGAAATTAGAGGACATTCTCACTGAGATTTGAAAGAATCACTAAAAACTTTATACCTTAGTTTTGAAGTACATATAGGGATTAAAAAACCAAAACCAACATGAAAACATTAGGATGGAAATTTTGTGCTTTCCAGTGCTCTGATTCTTAGCCTTAAGCCCCTCATTGAACAGGCTAATGTCATTTCTAGAATCAATGAAAAATTTATCATCTCATGGTCATTTTTACATTTCTATTAGTGTTTATTAATAGTATCATATTTTACATGTTCTTTCTTATTTATGAATAGGAAATACAAACTTTATTTTCAAAATCAAAAGATGGAAGCTATAATGAAAACTATGGATTCCTTTCACTCTTAATCCCACCCATGTCAGTAGTTTTCAGTAATTTCCATATAAAATACATTATACACACTTGTTTGCACCTAATTGTTTCACCTTAAAACCCTCAGGGTATTTCTGACTGCCAGTTTAGGCCCGATTCTGGGGATAGGACCTAAACCGGCAGTTGGACATCCCTCTCACAATCCTGGACCACTGGCTCCTAATCACTAATCTGCCTGCCTGCCTGGTCACCCCTAACTGCCAACCCCTGCTGGCCTGATCTCCCCTCACTGCCTCTGCATGCCGGCCAGGTTGCCCCCAACTGCCTCCTCCCTGCTGGCCTAGTCGCTCCTAACTGCCCTCGTCCCTGCCGGCCTGGTCACCTCTAAATGCCCACCGGCCAGCCTAGTCACTCCTCACTGCCCTCCCCCCAGCATGGTTGCCTCTTACTGCCCGCCCCCCCCCCGTCAGTCTGGTTGCCCACAACTGCCCACCTCTGCTGGATTGGTCACCCCTCATGCCCCCCCCCCTTCCAGCCTGGTTGCTCCACGCAGCCTGCTGTTCAGTCATTTGGTCGTCCCTCACTAACCCCCCTGGTCATAGGCAGCCATCTTGTGAGGGTGTGAGGGTTAATTTGCATATTACCTCTTTATTATATAGGATATATAATCTCCATTGTCAAGTTATTTAATGGTTACCTAGAATTCCAGTTCATGTATATACTAAACTTTATATGACCAATCTTTCCATTACAAATATTGCTGCAATGGATTTTCTCTGTGTGTGTGTGTGTGTGTGTGTGTGTGTGTGTGTGTGTGTGTGTGATTGTGTAATATAATTATGCACATGTATTTCCTAAAAGTGAACATGCTATATCAAGAATTGACTTGAATATATATTTCTTCTTTTGTGACTTTCAGTAACATTCTTGATGTTTTAAAAAAGACAATTTTTGTTCAACTGCAAATATGGTCTTTTTCTACCTCTTAAACCAGAGGGTGGCAACCCTTTCTATAAAGTGTCTAAAAGGAATTCTCTTAGGTTTGGTGGGTCATACAGTGATTCCTCCTACTACTTTACTCTACTGTTGTGGTATAAAAGTAGCCATAGAAAATATATAAATAAATGCATGCGGTGGTGTTTCAATAAAACTTTATTTACAATAACAGGCAGCAGGATAGGTTTAGTCTGTAGGCCAAGTTTGCCAACTTCTGTTATAAATTGATGCTTGTTTTTCAATTTAAATGAATAAAACCAACTCTCAATCTATCAATGTATGTCAGGCACTAAAATCCTCTAGTAGGCACCTTTTATGTTTAAAACTTTTGTGAGTAAATTTAAAAACCATCCACACTTAAAATAGGGCAGAGCATATATGCACATTCTATAATTTTCTTTAAAGAAAACTAATCTTATTTAAACAGTGAGCTCAAAGCATTCAGACCCTTGCCAATTAGTTTACCAGGGATAGCTAGGGTTGCAGTGAGTCCATCAGCAAGTGTGTCCAGGGCCCGTGCAATCCAGGGAGTTTTATCCTTTTTAGTACTTTCAATCAAATTTTTCAGACGATTTATCTCTGCCTCCATTTCATCAGATTTCTTCCTGAATCCTTCGTTAAGCAATTCCTCTTGGATCTAAAATAAAGGGTATGGAGAGAGGGAAAAGTAAACTTTTGAAAATCCCAATTTCTAAATGGTCAAATTTTATATGTAAGAATGTTATTAAATTTTCTTTATTTTCTACATAAAAGTAGTCTCTCTAATTAGATTATTAGAGGATAATATTTGGAGCAGACAGTATCTTCTGGGTTAGACCTGATCAATGAGAGGAAGGAGAGGTTCCAACCTTACTTAGCCAGGCGTGAAGAACAATGCTATAATGTGTTCCAACCAAAAGTAGGGATTAAGAGAGAACCATTATTCCACTTGTACAAATGGCATGGTCCCCCATATTGTAGAAATTATAATAGGAACATATAAGCTGATCAAAAAATCTGATGTAAACACTTCTAGATGAGAAAAAAGAGAATTCTCCCAATGCTATGTGGTGACTTAGGCAAACTATCCATACTTGGAGACAACTGAAGCAGGTTTAGAAGGTGTCAGTTCCCCATATTTCTATGTCTAGATATATCTGATAGTTTTAGGCCAGCATGGACCCAAATCAGGGTCTTTGCTGGTAGTAGAGTTCTGGATAATTGACAGTAATCTTGGTGTAGTACCCAGTTGCTGCTTATATTAAAAGCATCTGGTTAGGATATCTACTTGATAATCTATTAAAAACCTTGTTTAATTAGGGCTTCATGAGATCACCCTAGAATCCCACTAATGTAGACACTTGAACTTTGGGGAGGCTATTCATATTCTCCAAGGACTTGGAGGACCCAAGGTCATATTGGCCTCTCCAGAGTCTCGGTGTGGAGCAAAACTCAAAGGCCTCTTGGAAATCCAGAATTCGGTATTTTTGGTAAATCAAATGCAGTAAATAGAAGTAGTTGTTTTCTTTTTAATTTTGCATTAATTTTCACCTATTCCTTTCTCATTTACCAGGGTGATGACCATGAGCAACTATTGAGGCCATGGCCAGACTTACCTTTAGCTTCTGTTCCAGTATCCTTGTCTGTTCTCTCAGAGCCTCATCTCTGTCCTTCTCCAGCTTCTTTCTCAGTTGGACTATGTTTTCCTCCAGACTCCTATTTTGCGCCTCAATCTGCTGCTGCTGCTCCTTGTGCTTCTGTCTTAGCCACTCCTGTTCCTTCTCAGCTTGCTCCTTCTTGGCCCGCTCCTCTGCCCCATGACAATTTTAGAAAAAGAAGAAAGTACAAGATCAGGCCTGAACTCTAACATTTTGAGATTAGAGAACAAATCAAATTTGAAAGAGATGAGGAATCTTCGATTTCACACAATGGCTACACCATCAAGAGCAGGTTTGATAATGTAATGGAAAAGACCTTGACTGTCTGGTTGATATACAACCACACTCTGCTTGTTATGTTCAGATTTGGCAAAAAGTAAATTCCACAGAAGGAAAAATTTGTTGTTTTGGAAAGATCTTAATGTGATCTGTCAGAGAGCACTGCAGGAAATGCCACCACACTGAGAGTTGCATCATGCCCCATACCTGTTATGGCCTTCTCCCCTTGGGTCAGGGCTTTATCTGCCTGCAGGATGGATTTCTCTATTGACACTTGTGATGTCAGGAAGCGTTGGAAGACCTCTGTTGCCTGAGGACACAAGAAGGGACAAAGAACTTAGAGTTCCACTGAGGAGATTTGTTCTGTGCAAACAAGTCCATATGTATCATTTTTACTTTCTATTTAAAATGCTCCAGGATCCTCTACAAAGAGTCCAAGCACTTTACTGTGACCAAAGACTCTCCATGTCTTCCTCCACTCCCTCTTCCAGTACTACTTCTTTCCACATGCTCAAGGTCAGCCAGTCAGAATTATATGCTGTTGCACAAACCCATAACAACTTTGGTTCTGTTATGAATTTGCAGCTCTTTCTTTTGAATAACATTCAACCCAGACAACATGTACAAATATATCAAACTTTACATCCCCTCCTCTTCGAGACGATTTCATAGACTACTAGAGGCCCAGTGCATGAAATTTGTGCACTCGAAGGGGGAGGTCCTTCAGGAAGGCCTACACCCTCTCACAGTCTGGGAGCCCTTGGGGGATGTCCAACTGACGGCAGGGAGTAGGCCTAATCCGGCAGTCAGACATCCTTAGCCTTGCCACGGAGGTGGGAACGGCTCCCGTCACCGCTGCTGCACTCACCAGCCATGAGCCCAGGTTCTGGTTCCGGGGTGCGTCACCCAAGAACCACTGCAGCTCAGCAGCTCCTGTGCTGAGCATCTGCCCTCTGGTGGTCAGTGCACCTCATAGTGACTGTTGTTCCACTGTTTGGTTGATTTGCATATTAGCCTTTTATTATATAAAACTAGAGGCCCAGTGCACAAAATTTGTGCACGGGTAGGGTCCCTAGGCAATCAGGGCTGATCTGTGAGGTGACTGGGGGTGGGGTGCCCGGCTGGCACCCTCCTTGGCTGGTCTGGGACCTGGGGGCTGAGGGCAGCTCTTGCATTGAGCATCTGCCCCCTGATGGTCAGTGCACATCATAGCAACTGGTCATTACATTGGTCCTTCTGCTGTTAGGTCGATTTGCATATTAGGCTTTTATTATATAGGATATGCCCTATGTGAAAGGTAGACTCTAATCTATGTTGCTGTTCTCCTTAGGCACTTGCTAGATGTGCAACTTTAAGCAAATTATATAACCTACCTGTGCCTCCTAATTCACAACTATAAAATGTGGGTAAGAAAATAAATGTTTCATAACATTTTGGATGGTCAAATTAAACTGTAAAGAGAAAAAGCTTAATATTCTGCCAATAAGTAGTAACTATTAGTAGTAATTTGATATGTTAATTGTATTGTTATTATTACATTTATTACCATAACCAGTGTACCCCAGAGTCAGGTACATACATATTACCAATTTATATAATTGTCCATTTATTGACTTTCTCACTTTGATCAGTTTGAGTGCAAAGATTCTGGCTTTCCATCATAAAGCCTCTAAACATAGTACACTAAATGTCATGTTGTTAGACAAAGAAATGCATAATTTCTGTTCTCTCACATAAATTTCAGAAATTTATACTCATTTTTGAGAATGGACATTTCTACTCTACTTAGGAAGAAAGAGCAAATAGTGGACCTTAAAAGCTAAAGCAGTCATGATATCCCCATACTCTCATATTACCCACAACTGGTCCTGTGCTCTCATATTTTCAGGAGACCCTCTTGACTTTAATCTGTAGTATCCCTATGTTCCCCTTAATTCTAACTTTCACTCCTTTTCTGGGTACTTCCCAATATTGCCGTTCAATCCTTTCCTTTGCTCTCCTGTAGTTCTTGTGCCCTCCAGAAACAGAGAAAGTTCCATCTGAAATACTTTCCATTAGGGCCATTGAAAGCTGATCAAGTACATATTGGCAATATTTCTCAGAAGCCTCTTCATTCTTCAGCAATAAACTCTCCTTCTTATTCTTTATGATTTCCTGTATGGGAAATGTAGATGGGTGTCACCAGAGAAAGGAACATAGAAGATAAAATTCCAAAGAATTTATTAGCTGGGTACTCTGTGGTCCTCTTAATAAAAGCATCCAATCAATGCTGCAAGAATCAAATTTATTTCCAACTCTGAAAACTCTCTACAAGACCCTGTTAAAGCTTCTTATCCTCCCTGGGCTTCATCTTCACCTGTGAAATGTTGAGATTGCATTATATATTCTTTGTAGTTCCTAGTAACTGTAGTATCCTGTGAATCTATCTTTGATAAAAATGATACAACTAAAATAATATAAGTAATTACCTGTTGAGAGAGTATGCTAAGGAAATCAAGTGTCTAAAATAGGAGTGCATATACCTGGAGATAAACCAGCTCAGAAATGACTTTGAAGAGGTCAGGAATCATGCCACAATTCACTAAAGGAGAAACCAATGCTGGTTTTCTTGAGAGATCAGACAGATCTTTAATATCTTTCCTGAGTTTGAAGAAAAAGAAGTAAATATTCTCCCTCTCTGGAAAATGCAGACTACTTTATGCTGAATAGGAGAGGAGCTATGAGATGAATCTGTAGAACTGAAGACATCCTCCCAGAAGGGCAAGAATTAGTAAGGACAAATACCAAGACAAAATACTGTGAGCTTCTTCTGAAACTCACTCTGGTCATCCTTGAAGGAGTGCTCCAGGAAGATTGCAATGGCAGCGTGCAGGTCCAGCAATTCCTGGAGCGTATCTGTGGGAAAGATCACTCGCTGGCCCATCTGCTCGCTGTAGTGGTCAGCTGCCTTCTGCACAGCCACTGAGTTCTCAAGCTGGGCCAGAGTTGTCACCGCGTTCTCCAAACAAGGCACTGATCCTTTATTGATGGTATCTATGTAAGTCACCACCAGAGTCCCCAACCCTGAATAAAATAGGAAACAAGGATCAATAAAATTTATCACTTAGTGAGATCCAAGATTCTGAGATTATAATTCTGAAACCACACACACACACACACACACACACACACACACACACACACACACCTACTTCTATCACACCTTCATTTTCACATTTACTCATTATTCTAGTGTTCTATAGGACATCACAAAAGAAATGTTAAATACCTACCTTTATCTAACATAATCAGATGTGTCTGTAAATAATTATTATACATTACACAAATAAAAAAAATACTACACAGGTAAAGAGATAGGAAGGATAATTCAGATAATAATTGTTCCTAATTCTTAAGCTTTCAATAGATTTCAGGTACTCAGAAACAAGTATTTATTTTGGACTGGTTTAAACTCCCAAGAAGTCTCTTTGAGAAAAACACTTACTATATTAGACTTCCCCTGAAAATACAACATACTCTGTTTGTATACCCAGTTAGTGGTTTTATTATCAGTGATGGGGTTCTTCTTAATGTGGGATTCCAAGATATAAGTGATAATATTGGGAGTTTTGGGAAAGGATTTGTTAATCACATGACAAGAGATAATTATAAAGTACATACATATTTCTCTATGGAGTATGAATATTTATAAGTACACATTTTTTATAGAAAATAAAACAAAGCTACTAAAAAACACATATTATCCTATATAATAAAGTGGTATTATGCAAATTGACCCTCATGCCCTCACAAAATGGCTGCCTATGACCAGGCCAGCCAGGGGGTTAGTGAGGGACTACCAAACGACTGAACAAGCAGGCTGCGTGGGGCTACCAGGCCGGTGGCGGGGTGCCGTGAGAGGTGGCCAGGCTGGTGGGAGTGGCAGTAAGGGGTGACCAGATTGACAGGGAGGCAGTTAGGGGCAACCAGGCCAGTGTGTGGGGGGGTGCAGTTGGGGGTGACTTAGTGAGGGACGACCAAATGACTGAACAAGCATGTTGCATGGGGCGACCAGGCCAGCAGGGGGCCATGAGGGCAACCAGGCTGCCGGGGGGGGGGGCAGTTAGGGGCAACCAGGTAGGTAGGCAGGTGAGCAATTAGGAGCCAGAGGTCCTGGATTGTAAGAGGAATGTCCAACTGCCAGTTTAGGCCCGATCCCACTGGATTTTGTGCACCAGGCCTCTAGTAATTAAATAATTAACACAGATGAGACCACTCAGAAATATGGTTTTAGAAAAGAAGACTCACGATTCCCCGTGACCTTGACTCCTTCCCTGAGGGTCTTGGTCTTTGCATGGGTGGAGATATAATAACAGAAATTATCTGATTGTTGCCGGAATTGTTGCCGGATCCAGTTAGCTTTCCAAAATATTCTCAACTTTGGCTAGGAGACTTGTGTCTTGTGTTGGCCGGTCAAAGACAAAACACTTCCGTTTTGGAAAATAACGCCTGATACACTCCCTGGGTATGTTGGAAATTTTAGCTTCTGGATTTAAACCTGAGGAAAAGGAAAGCATGGTTACAGTCAGCACAGTCTTGGGACAAGACAGCTAAATATTTTTATGACTGGGAATTTTTGATCTTTGGTGATTTCTATGCTCATAGAACTCCTTTAACATACTCATAAAAATTACAAATTAAACTCATATGAATGACATGTTACTGAAGAGAAATTTTAGGAAACATATGCCCAAGAAAAAGAAATTTATGGCTGGTATCCACAAAATCAAACATGGTGATTGCATTATCAGATGTTTATCTAATGACTGATGGTCAAATTTCAATTTCTGGTCTACTCCAAGCCATGTTGGAAATAAACTGTAGGAACAAAATAAAGAGAAGTTACAATGACAATGGTGTAATGATTAACATAGGACATGTGACAACTTCAGTTAAGAAGAAAAACTGCATTGATTGAATTCACATACTACAAATTAGACTAGCTATTTTTTGGCAGAAAATCTAAAGACCAAACTCTACCTAAATGTAATCTGAAAAACTCACCACTACTCCAAAAACACATTGGTTGTGTCAAGTACTCATCTACATAAATGCAATTAATTAAAATAAGTTATTTAGTTAAAATAGTGTCAAAGTGAATAAATATATTAGCATAAAAAGGAGGATATGATGAGGAAAGTAAAATGAAGAATCTGGCTGTTTTTGGAAATAATTTTTAAAAAATTGTTCCAGTTCAAACAAACTAAAAACTGGTGAAGCAATCCCTTTACAATGGGCAAATGAAATGATAACCACATTGAAGTGGGTAGAAAAGCTGAGATACAATCTCACAATAAGCCCCACCCCGGCACAGTGACCAATGGTCTGGAAGGAACTATAAAACCTGAAGCTTCTCTCTGAAGAGTGAAGGATTTGTATCTCACATCAGGCACCCCAATGTTTAAGAGCAGCACTTGAGATGAGACCCAGAACATCTGGCTTTGAAAACAAGCAGGACTCACACCCACAAGACACATGGGGCTGTGGTGAGTTCTTCAAGGGTTCACATGCAGACTCACCCACCCCAGGGCTCAGTTCAGAAACTCTTTGAAAAGAGAAAAACAATTATTTGCAAAACTTTAAAGCATTGGTCTGAAGGGAAAGGAGCTGCTGGGATACTCTCTGGGGATAGAAGCTGGTGAATGCCATCTTCCTATTCTCCCTCTACCTTCCTAAAGCCAATGGGTAGCATCATTTTTTCTCTTTTTGTTTCTTTTCCTTTTTCCAGTGGACAATATCTTTGTACTCTCCCTCTGCAGTGTTCCACACTACCATCGTCTCCAGGACAGAGCTTCTAAACATTGCTGCTGTTCTGGTTTTTATGCTTTGTGACCCAGTGTTTGAGTCTGCCATCCAGGACATGCCCCATGATTGTCTGGCTTTGGAGGCGAGGGGATTTATGTTACTGGGTCCCAGGGCACTGTAATAATTGAAGAGACAGTTTTTGGCACACTGCTACTCTAAGGGCACTGCCAAGATGGACTGAAACACACCTCTAGTCTTTCTGAAGAGTCTCGTTTGCTTGTCCAGGAACTTTGGCCTGAGGGCCAAGCTTCTGGTTTGGCACACTTACAGGGGACTATGGAGGTGCTCTCAAGGAATGGAGGCTGGTGGACACAACCTTTATATTCTTCCTCTGCCTTATTCCAGCTTACTGGTATCTTCCAGAAAGGACCATATAACCTTGTCTGGTGTCCTGATTTTTGTGGTTGCTGCCAAGGGACACCTCTGTATCTACTGGTAATGGAGGCCAGCGGGCTTATACATGTGTGTCCCAGGGAGAAAGAGTTCTTAAACAACTACCACTGCCAGGGCACAGCAAAAGACAACAGACCCAGGAGCTGAGTCTTTCTGCAAGAGACCTGTTAGCTTACATTCAAGCTGCAGTATGAGGGGCAGGTTTCTAATGAAACAAACATCTAAGGGCTGACTGTAATCCTCTCCAGAGAAGTCAGAGGGCAGGTACTATATTGTTCCTCTGCCACACTCCAGAGCACCAGCATCTCTCGGAAGGGAGTTCTTAAATGTGTTCCATGACCCACTTTTTTACATTTTGTACCCTGGTTTTTGTGGCTGCCAGATAGGGGATACCCCTTGATTGCCTAGACCCATTAGCCAGGGGTGCTTGTGTTCCTGTGTCCCCTGAGACTGTACAAATCAGAGAGACAGTTTGTGGCAGGCCACCATGCCCAGGATACTATACAGAAAAAAAGATTAAAACACACACACCCAGTAATTTTGAAAAAAAACACTTTCTTGTCTTGGAGCTTTTGCCATAAGAGCAAAAATCACATTTGGCACAATTAGGGCTATACTTTTAGGGAACAGAGGTTGGGGGACACCATCTTTGTAGTCTTTCACTGCCTTACTACAGCTTATTAGCATCTCCCAGAAAGAATCTTATACTTTTGTCTGGAGCCCCAATTTTGGGGACTACTGTCCAGCAGACACCTACAGATTATCTGGTTACGGTGGCCTGGGGGCTTATGCTTGCAGTCCCATAGGATTGCATTCATTTGCATTTTAAAAAATCTGCTGCCTGAAGATCTGACTTCCAATCAGCCTGAATCTAGGTGCACTCTTCCCTTTGGGACACTGACAGGTCATGTCACACCCTAAACTAATGGGAGCATTAAAAACAAAAATAAGCTGCTTGGACAATCACAAAGGATTGAGAAACAAGCCAGAGCAAGGGCAGGCTGAACAATAAGGTTCATCTACACCAGGCCACTACTACAGGAGAGGTGGTGGTTTCATCTAAAGCATAGAAACCAATAGAGAGAGTCAATCAAGATGTGGAAACAGAGGAATATGTTCCAAATGTGATATCAAAATAAAACCTCAGAAAAAAAACTTAATGAAATGGAGATAAGTAATTTACCCAATAAAAAGTTGAAATTAATGGTCATAAAGATGCCCACCAAATGAAAGAAGAATAGATAAAACTGTGAGAACTTCAAGAAAGAGATATGAGATATTAAAAAGTACCAAACAGAAGTTATAGAGCTGAAGAATATAATATCTAAACTGAAAAATGTATTAGAAGGGTCCAACAGCAAACTAGATGAAGCAGAAGAAAAATAAGTGAATTTGACGACAGGAAAGAGGAACTCACCCAATCTAAGGAACGAGAGAGGGCTTCAAGGTGGTGGCATAGAAAAAGTCTAAACTTACCTCCTCACATGGACACACAAATATACACCTACATATAGAACAATTCCTCCTGAAGAAATGAGGGCTGATTGAATAACTTTTGCAAAGCAAAATGAGAGGGATCATAAAGAGAAGGTGGTACCCATGTGAACCCTATCCAGACAGGAAGACCTGCAGTGAGGAGGGATATCATTGCGGGGCTCACATAGGCCTCTGGGGCACAGAAAAAAACACAAGGTGATTTTAAAAGCACTTAGACTGTACATTTAAAAAATCTACTAATGACTAGATGCCTGTCAAATGTGTAGGAACTGCAGGAACTCTCCAGGATCTGTGGGAATTCTCTGGGATGAGTTGCTAGCCAGCACCATTGTTCGTTACCCTTCATTACCCTCCTTATAGATAGTGGGGGCAGAGCTCAAACAAGAGCTCTAGTAAGCAGGCAAAGCCTACATGGCATGCCCCAGGGCTACCACAGCCAGCACTGCTGCAGCCCTGACTAGTGCCCCCCCCCTGCCCCCCGCAAGGCACACCCAGAGTCATACAGCCAGAGTCACCTCAGCAAATATATACTGCAGCCCCAGACAGTTGGTTTCCCAGAGTACCAACAGCGCCCTTCTCAGAATGACCTTAGCCAGTGCCCACTGTAGGCCCTACCAGCAAGCTCTCTAAAGTACTCCAGAGACCCATGTCTCATGCTGCTTCAGCCAGCATCTGCTGTAGCCTCAGGCACCCCTGAAGCCCTGCATGCTGAATCACTCAGCCAGTTCCTGCTGAAGCATCAGCCAGCCAGACATCCAGAGGACCCCAGGCACTGCACAGACCCACTTCAGCTGACCTGCCAAAACATCCAACTCATACAATCTACACAAGTCATTCCCACACAAGGTCACTCCTTAAAGACTGGAGAATTATTCATCTAATTCATAGAAGCAAACACAGAAAGTCAAGCAAAAGGCAGAAGCTAGAGGAATATATTCCAAAAGGAAAAAAAAGAAAAATGGAAAAAATCCCTAATGAAATGGAGATAAGTATTTTGCCTGATAAAGAATTAAAATTAACAGTCATAAGGATGCTCACTGGACTTGGAAGAAGAATAGAGGACCTCATTTAGAACTTTAGCAAAGAGTTAGAAAAATAATAAAGAACCATTTAGAGCTGGGGAATATAGTAACTGAAATGCAAAATATACTAGAGGGGATCAAAAGCAGATTAGACAATAGAGAAGAAATTATTAGTACCCAGAAGAAAGAATAGTGGAAATCACCCAATCAGAACATCACAAAGAAAAAAGAATATTAAAAAATATTCTGGGACAATGTCAAGTCCACTACCACTCACTTTACAGGGATTCCAGAAGAAGAGAAAAGAAAAGGATAGAAAACTTTTTTCTTTTTTTAAATGGCTAAAACCTTTCCTAACCTGGGGAAGGAAATAGACAACCAGTTCTAGGAAGCACAGAGAGTTCCAAGCAAGATGAATCAAAGAGATCCATACCAAGAAATATTACAATTAAATGGCAAAAGTTAAAAGAGAATCTTGAAAACAGAAAGAGGAAAAAAACTAGTATCATAAAAGGGAATCCCTATAAGGTTATCAGGTAATTTTTCAACTGAAATTTTAAAGGCCAGAAGGTAGAGACAGTATATATTTAAGTTGCTAAAAGGAAAGAACTTATAACATAGAATACTCCAGGGTGGTAGGTTTAACCTTCAGGATTGAAGGATAGATAGTTTCCCCAAAAAGAAAAAAACAACGGAATTCATTATGGGTCTTCTTTAAGTAAAACTTAAAGCACAATCATAAATTTTAAAAATACAGGTAAGGAAATATATCATAAATAAA